TCTCCCAGCACGTCTGCAGCACCCTTTTTGCTGGATGGCATCTCCATGCTTAAATTGACCCAATAATTAGCCCCCAGCTGCTTCCTCCTCAACCACAATGGCATTTCACCTGTTCTACTTGGAGAGCACATATTGGGGAGGTTCTAACCGCCTACGCACACTCTTAAAGCCTGAGCTTGTATAACATCCAGGTCTGCTAACACAGATTTCGCTGCCGAACCATATACAATACTTCCATAGTCTAACCTTGATCTTATTAAGGCTATATATATGTATTTCAGCGATGCTACATCCGCTCCCCACCCCAATCCTGCAAGACACCTCGTGACATTTATAACTTTTTTTACACTTTCAACTACATATGTAATATGCCCTCCATGTTAATCTCACATCAAAATATACTCCCAAAAAACGAAAACTTTCGACTCTCTCTAAATTATTTCCATATAATTCAAATACCATTCCCTGACTTTCTTTCTTGTGAAGAACATAACTTTTGTTTTTTCCACTGAAAACTTAAATCCCCATTTTGTTCCCCACTTTTCGACTTGATTAATTCCATCTTGCATTTTCTTAGCTACATATTCCACATTTCTCCCTCTTTTCCACAATGCTCCATCATCTGCAAACAATGATCTCCCCATATCAGTTGGAATGTTTACAAATACATAATTTATCATAATGGAAAATAAAGTTGGACTTATTACACTCCCCTGAGGTGTCCCGTTTTCTACTATATTGGCTAGATAGTTCTGCTCCTATCTTCACCTGAATAGTTCTTTCATTTAAAAGTCCATAATCCAATTGAACATTCTCCCTCCAACACCCATTAGGTTAGTTTAATTAGCAATCCTTCCTTCCATAACATATCATATGCTTTTTCCACGTCGAAAAATACTGCAACCATTGTCTCTTTATTTACTTGGGCTTTCCTTATTTCATCTTCTAGTCCCAGCACTGGATCTATGGTACTCCTTCCCTTCCTGAAACCGCTATGGTATGATGCCACCATTTCTCTTTCCTCCAAGAAGTATGTTAACCTCTCATTCACCATACGTTCCATTAACTTACAGATATGAGACGTCAAGGCAATTGGTCTATAGCTTCCAGGTCTGCTGGCATCTTTTCCAGGTTTCCTTCTTGGAATTATTATAGCCTCCTTCCAACTCCCTGTATTATTCCATCTACCCACACTCTGTGATACAACATCAATAATTTTCCAGATTTTCTTCACTTAGATGCTTTATCATACAATAACATACTTTGCCCGCTTTGTCTAGTGCCCTTTTTAACGCTCCTATTGTAAAGGGGACATTCAGTCCATCCCCCACACTACTTTTCCTACCTAAAGCCTTAGCCTAAAGGATTTTCAGATTTTGTTTTCTCTCTACCTCTTCTACCTTCTTCCTGCATATTTGAGATATGTACCGTAACAAAGGTTTTTGCCATTAGCTCTGCCTTCTCCCTATTTGTTACTGCTGTCTCATTACCCTCAACCAGAACTGGGTAACCCCATTCCCTCCTGTCCCCCCCATCTTTTTTCACCTACAGAACTTTTAGTGACAGGCTACTTGAGACAGACAACTCATTTCACTGTGGTTTTATTCTTTTTTTTTTTTTTTACTGAATTGATGTGGAAGAGAAATCTCTTAACTCATGACTGCACTTTACAGAATTATATTCGTATACGTATATATATAAAAAATCCAGTTTTGAACCATTTCCACATGTTACAAAATAAATCCAGGTCAAGTGATTATCAATAACAACAATAACATACTTTCACTTAAAAGAGGCCATCTGAACAACACTCCTTCCAATGGCAATTGTGGCCATACTAATCATTGAGAATACTACACAAGCACCTGCTTTGAGCAGTCAAATGCAGAAAATAGGTGGCAAGCAGCGCAGAATTTTGGCACCTGATTATTAGGCATGTGCTGAGTGTCTCAAGGGTAGGTTAATGGAACAATACTATATTGCTGCTGCTTCAAAAGCATGGTGTAATAAAACATGGTGTAATGCAGAAACAATTAAGCTGCAACCCAACATAACACACTATCTATAGGAAACTTCTAAAACTAAAAGCACAGCCACAAATTATTCTGTCTCTTTTAAGTTTAAGATATAAACATCAGTGAGATGTAGAGAATTTTTGTCCAGATTTTTTTCTCTGCAGTCCATCCATCTGCTCTGCCACAGCCAGTGCTTGTGTTCATGCATTTCCGTGTTTGAGTCCGTGTAGGCAGACGGAGAGGTAGTGTGTATGGTTGAGGAGGCCTCCCCAGTGTGGTGTACTAATGGCCTAGTCACTAGGAATCACAATGCAATGAAATAAAACAACAAACCACAGCCAAACAGTTATCGTCATGACGTACAGACAAACAAATCTCATACCTCTTAAAAGATTTAAAAAGAAATAATAGTGGCGGGTCAGACAGCCACAAAGTTGCTACATATGTCTGGAACATTGTGTAAATTTGCCCCCAAACATGTCATGTCTCAAACTGTATAAAACCAAAGAAAAAAATCCAAACACAAGTGTCTTTTACACTCGTGTGACCTAACAGCATCTTTGTGAGTCAAGGTTTGATGGGTAGACAGGACAAACGGGAGGAAGAAGATGAAAGTGAAGGAAGAAATTAGCTTATATTACAGCACAATATAGACAAGTACACAAGGGATACTTCAATTATTATCATCATCATCATGTTTTTTTTAGGGTGTTTTTTCTGGACCTCTCAGTGGTCCTGTAGAATAGGTAATGTGCATTTGTCACCTGTTTAAATGAATGAAGTGAATGATAAAGTCCACAAGGGCAGTGTGTGAGGTCAGATGGGGTGATAAGACGGTAGACTAGCATATTATGAGGCCAGACCTCTGACCTCTGTCTCATCAAGCTCACAGAGATATACAAGCAAAAAAAGTCACCAAGTATGTTTACATGCACATTAGTTTTGCAGTTCTCTCACCTTGGTTTTGAACCTTTTCCAAACAGATGTATACATGGAATATGAGAAACCTGGTCATTCATATCCCTGTGTACATGATCATAACAGTATCCAGGTTTCTGATCATCTGCATGATTCCTCAACATGTGTGCTCTGGATTTAACGTGTCAATCTTATCGCCAGTAATGGATAACAAGATCAATAACATTGTATTTCTTGTTTTACTGACTGACTATCTACCACGTAACTTCAGCAGACGACGCACTTGCACACATTACAGAGAATGCTCATAAACCGGGATCAGGTGTTTTTACATGTCTTATGATCCTGTTTTTTTTATTGGGATACTCTAGCTACCATATTCAGGTTTCTAAAAACTAGGATAAGAGGCACAACCCAACCACAATACTAAAGCAAATCCACTCATTTATAAGAGGGTGGAGACATGGTGTGTAGCAGCACAGTGTCCGATTCTTAGGTAAATTTTCAGACTCGCAGTGAATTAAATGGCTGCCTCAGGAGTCTTATTATCGTAGGTTTTTCGATGAGATTTTCTCAACATATCTGTGAGCTTGACAAGACGGCAGACTGGCTGCGTTATATGAACCAGGGTGAAGGAAGGACTGAGGGGCTGCTGTCTGTCCACTTATGATGCCAGCTCACATCAGTGAGCTATATCAGTGCTGCAACTCTGTAAGGCAGTGAGAAGTGTGGGCCCCGAGTCTGGCCCTGTGACATTCAGTACAGCGAGTAGCTGTGTCCCATACAGATCAAGATGTCTGGGTCTTTTCTATGGAGCCTCCTAGAACAACAAACACATTGTAGGATCACTGGCCAGGTGACAAAACTGCAGGAACTCAGTTGCAGTTAACTTCCACACACAAAACCTGGGAATGACATGGGTTCAACTTGAGTTTTAACAATCGATAACAGTCTACTGGTTATGGGTAAATACTTTCAACTAGAGAGTCAATAAGGGCGTGTGATGTGGTAGGGTCGCAAATTCTTATTATCGATTAATCTGTCTATTTGTTTTTGATTTTTGATCAAAAAATTTTGAAGAAAGTTCACAATTTCCCAAATAAGCTTGTTTAGTCCTACCAACAGTCCAAAACATTTGCGAGAGAAGACATTTTTTAGGGGTCAATTTGCTTAAGTAGTAACTTCATCGATTAATGTATTATCAAAATAGTTACCTATTATTTTTCTATTTTATTTTATCACGAAGAAAACCCCTCGTGTAGTCCTTAACCTGTCTTCAACCGCCATGGCCCTGATCTCATGGAGTAGTCTGACTGACTGGCTGGAAGTCAGTCTGGAGTAAAACAGCATCTCGGTTATAAGGAAGGATGAATCCAATTAGTCAAACACACTAAGCAAAGGCAAGAAGTAACTGAGTGTCTGAAGTCTGTCCTGATCACAGCCTCTAACAACAGGAAGTTCATCTGAGATGAATATTACATTCGGATTGTTGGTGGTATCATGTTATGTGAGCTTTCTGTAGACAGATACTACAGAGTGGATGAGTGCCCCAAAATCTTAAAGGAGTAGTTCACCACAAAATGAAGACGTGAAATCATCTACCGCTCACTCCCACATCAGGTTTTTGATTAACTCTGAAGTGCATATGGCCAAACTAGTTGGCTTCTCACATACATTCCCTCACCTACATGAGTAATATTACCGCCTTGTAGAGTTGTTAAGACGGACATGCTAGCAAACTGTTGCTTACTTTACACAGTGTGGATACAGAGCAACATAATCATTTAGAGTGATGTTTGAGTCCAACTAACAAATCTCAACTCTCAGCTCTGTGTTTGGTCTCCTCTAACTCATCTGGCTCTTAAGATGCTAAATGCTCCATGTTCACCAGCAAGTCACTTACGTTAAAAAACACTGAAAACACCTATGTGTGATAAGAGCAGTGAGTGAACAGTAAAGCTGTGGGCTATAAAACCTAAACGCTGAGCTGAAATAAGCTCTAACACTCCATCAAGAGGACGGGAACTGAAGAGTTGAGTGATAATTCTCTTTTGATCCGTCCCCAAGCGACACCTTTCACATAAATATAGTTCCCATTAGTTTTCCATTGTTGATATAAAAATATTGATTTATACAGCTTTAATGCCCGATATGTAGATTATTTTGTTTTGTTCTGATGCTGATCTAGTTGAACACACCCTTCAGTGGCATGCAGAGTACTTAAGGAAACAGAGATATAAAGTTATTCCAGTTTTTTTTTTTTTTTTTTAAATGTGTCTTGGCTGTAAAGCATTGATGTGTTTTTTAAAATAATTTGGGACAAGCCTGACTCATAGCAACAACATGAAGAAGCTACGTAGGTATTTTGTGGTTGCACAAACATTAGTAAAGTCCTGCAAGTGAGCAGATGACCAAACCTACATTTTGGGATGAACTATTCCTTTAATCATGATGCCTGTATTACAGAAATACAACAGCAAAAGCTGTTATGGCAAGAATGACACAATTTCCTTTTCATTCTTACAGAGAGTGGCCTGTGCAGTACAGTGAATGTGTGTGGTGCTGAAGTAAGTATGATTACACACACACATTATATATAATTTTATATATATACATATATATACATATACATATATATATATATATATACATACATATATATACATACATATATATAATATATATACATATATATATATAATATATATATATATATATATATATACATACATATATATACATATATATATACACATATATATATATATATATATATATACATATATTACATATATATACATATATATACATATATATACATATATATATATACACTATACATATATATATACATACACATATATATATAATACATATACATATATATATACATACACATATACATACATATTATATATATATATATATACACATATATACATATACATATTATATACATATATATATATATATACACATATACATATACATATATATATACATATATATATATTATACATACATATACATATATATATACATATATATATATATATACATACATATACATATACATATACATATATAATACATATATATATATATATACACATATACATATACATATATATACATATATATATATATATACATATATACATATACATATATATATATATATATATACATATACATATACATATATATATATATATTATATATATATATATATACATATATATATATATATATATATATATAATACACATATATATATATATATATACACACACATATATACACACACACACACACTACATTATTAGATTAGAAGTGTGATATGATACAGTACAACTGGGAATAACAAGGTGCAAACAAGGAGTGAGATATAAATACAGCTATGTATTGTTGTAGGCTTCAGCTGACTAACAAGGACCGATCAAGAAATTTGTTCTTGTTCAAAATTTCGGCGCACTGGGTAAAAAGTGAGTGATTTTTCAAATCACTAAAGATTTCTGGTTGTGAAAAGTTACTGGATTATTCCTCTAAAAAAGCTTTCTACACAGAACGAAAGAAATTAAATGTTAATATAACATTTGATGTCATCTTTTAAACAACCACATATTTGGTTAGTAGTACCTTTTATTAGCAGAGGGTTACTTTTCTACATATGTACACACTACCAGCAAGGATATTTTATATTTACAAGTGCGTAGCAGCATTTAGAAACCATGGCTGAAAAACAAACAAACAAACAAAAAAACCAAAAACACTACTTTGAAATAAAAAGAATTGCCACTTAAGACTATTTGGACGTTTTTTTGTTTGCAGCTGAAGAAACCCTGAAAAATTACCTCATTGACGACTCAGAATTTTTTTTTTGCCAAACAGAATTTTTGGGATTGAGTCCAGCTGAGCGCTATTCCTTGTCGCAGAAGCCATTTAGAAAGAGGCGGAAAGAGAGAATGAAAGACAGAATGGAAAAAAAGGTGAGACCACAGGAAATGATGAAGGACATAAAAGAAAAGGGGAGACTGCACATGTGTCTGCTTGACTCCCTGCAGTGACTTTGTGTGGGTGAGTAAAGATTGAAGAACGTTTTTTTTTCTTCTGTGTGCACCGCTGACATTTAACAGTGACTGTGCGTTGACCAAAACTAAATTAAACCACAACTATGATTGTGTGTGTCCTGTAATGAAATGAGTGTCTTTGAGTGTGTGACGTTAATGTGCAGTGGCACACACGGACCAGCAGGAGAGGCTGAGGGGCTCTAGAGGGCAGTGAGGCGGCCGGTAAGTGCCGCCTGGAGCTCAGAGGGGAGGAAGACCCCCAGCTCTGTGATGATGCCTCCTGTGATGAGCTGGTGAGGGGTAACGTCAAACGCTGGGTTCCACACCTCAATACCTGCCGTGAAAAGTTAGGAATGAGTGACAGTTAAAAAATAAGGTGGGCAATAAACTACATCAGTGTTTCCAAACCTTCTTCTTCTTTTTTTTTTTTTTTTTTTTAAATCAGTTGTACCCTCACAGCTATGTCCGATCATCATCAACACCACCATTTATTTTTATTATTATTATTATTTTTTTTAGCTGACTGTTGATTCTGTTTGTTTAATTTATCCATTATGTTTTAGCTAATTCAGCCCCATACTATATAGCTGCAGTAAAGGAGGCAGCATTTTCAGGACCTGCAGTCCTGGGACCGCATTTCTAATACCCTTGTTCTTTGCAACAGCGCCACCTAATGAATTGGTGCGCAATTCATTGTGTTGCACAGCAACACAAAGGAGGTTAACCCTATCTACCCTATAACAGTTTAAACTGTTTATCCACTACTACATCCTTCAGCTCAGTATCCTCTTAACATGACACATTAAGGAGACCTTTTGAAGGTTTTTAATGTTGTCAATATTTTTTCTCAAGGTCAAATGTTCAATATGTTGAAATCACCCTACAGCTTATGGTCTTCTAATGTTTTACTCCTTGAAACCTATGCCCTTAAATTTACAGGCAAGACAGTTTCCTTGACTTCAGATGTTTCTACAATGGCTGAACAGATACAGTTACCATTTAAACTGCATTTGAAACATCCATCTCCCAGCATTCTTGAACTATGAAGATAACCCATTCAGATCTCTAACAATGTTAGTTTATATCAAGTGACCAAAAATAAACTGCAATGCTTTTGTTCTTTGTAATGAAGGAACCTGTCCCCCAGTGCAACTGTGTGTCACGTTGATGTGATTCTAATAGTTTTTAGACAACAGTGAAGCTAAGGCACAGAGGAAATACGTGTTAGTAAAATCCATTCATTGCTGGTTTTGATCTACCTTCTAATTGCACTTTTAATTGTGGCTGTTTACAGGAAGGACCAGAGTGTGAGCGGAAAGTTAAATGGAGAGAGTAACATAATGTACAAGGCACACATCGTCCTCTCCAGGGGCCAGTGAGCTCATTAAACGAGTGTGCTTTAATTACTGTGATGTCACTGAGCACCTCTCTGCTCTGGCAACGTAATTAATAATTAAGAGTTCAAATGACTCAATTCTTCTCAAACAAACTCACCCTAAAACACACTTCCAATGTCCGCTCTTACATACTCAAACTTTGACCCATATGTCTGCTCAGGACTGTCCCGTTGTCCCCCAAGGAAGACTTGCCCACAATTCATAGCATTCCAGTGGTAAAAATAATCACAGGAGACACCCTGATGGCCTATTGGTTTAAGGTGCTGACCACAAACTGCAACACCTCTAGCTTGGATGACCGTCTAATTAAGGCATAAAAACAACCAACAAAAGGCAAATGATGGCAGGGGAAAGTGGAAAAAACATTGAAAGACCTCTCGTGAGGTTCACAAGCAGACAGCAGCAAGCACTTTGAGGTAGTGGAGCCTCACGCTTTACTGGCCACACAATGATGCCTCTGCACAGGTAATGTGATTTCACAAAGTGCTGTTCCATCCTTTATACAGCATTTGGAGCCCTTGCACCTTTTTTTACTTTGGCACGTGCACTACATGTGACCTCAATTAAAGTCTGTGAAGGTTCAGTGCTAAGGGTTTAGGGCAGACAGTGGAACTGGGCCACCCTCATCCATCTCTACAAGCCTGACGTTTTCCTGACGCTCTCAGTGCTCTACTAAACTTTTTGTTTTTAAGAGTTTCTTGTCATTTTATACTTTCAGACCAACATTTGTGACTTTTCCCCCTCGTACAAAAACATACCACACTGCTTACCCGGAGCAGCAATGGGGACTCCGTTTATACTGGTGAGTTCCTCAGGGGGGCGCACTTCGATGATGATGTCCCTGCCGCTCTCCAGGCTCAAGTCGCACGACGTGCTGGGCGCAGCCACATAGAAGGGAATCCCATGGTGCTTTGCGGCGATGGCCAGCTGGTACGTTCCCACCTTGTTGGCTGTGTCACCGTTGGCAACCACCCGGTCTGCGCCCACCACCACAGCTGAGATGGAGAAGTAAAGAAAATGAGCGTAGAGTAAAGAGAGTAACGTTTGAACAGCAGGGGGAAAGAAAAAAAAAAAAAAAAAAAAAGAGTCACAACACACACACCTGTGATGGCCATTTCTCTCATTGTGAGGGCTGCCATGCTGTCTGTAATAAGTGTAGCAGGGATTCCCTCTGCTACCGCCTCGTACGCCGTCAGTCTGGATCCCTGGTTGTACGGCCTCGTCTCTGTGCAGTACATACGCTTCAGCCTGCCCAGCGTGTGGAGGCTTCGCACCACACCTACACACAAACACAGAGTCATAATTACAGTTACAGTGCCATAAATATTTTAACAATCACACTCTTTCCTCATTCACATCCACGGCTCCAGTCTTACCGAGCGCAGTCCCGTATCCAGCTGTGGCCAGCGAGCCGGTGTTGCAGTGTGTGAGGATGGTGACAGAGTCCCTTGGGACGCCAGACAGGATGTGCTGGGCTCCATAGTTACCGATCTTCTTGTTGTCATTGACGTCACGCTCCAGCATATCTTCAATCCAAGCAATTACACTGTGGGGTGGGTGGGGACAAGAGGTGGGAATTGAGAAGAGGCTCCGTCTGCCACTGTGGACTTGATGTGTCCATCAAGTCTGCAGTTACAATATGTTTGCATGTTTCTTGTCCTGACTTCACTGTATCTCTCTCATTGAAATTATTTTTCTTAATGGTCTTTGTACACTTATCAGTCTGTTATTCTTGCACCATGGCCTCTAATTATAGTCACTGTTTCACAAAGTTAACACAACATTTTTAGAGACTGGTCCACAGTTCAACCGACCCCAAGTCTCAAGAACCAAAAATCATCCATGTGGGTTAGAGTTAGGGTTAGCTTAGTCTTTCACCCCACAAACTCTGTTAAGTTATATATAAAGTGATGCATGCTCTGTTATAGTACCTGTAACAGTTTAGAGATTCAGAGTGAAACATTAACTGAAAACCATTAATATGACCCATCCGCATCTGCTGCACAGACTCATCACCCAGCACCAAATGTGCTGCCTTTGAGAGGAGGAAAAGGGAATTTCTAGTAGTTTCAATCACCATCAAACTTTTTCTTTCCCAAAATCAATTCTGGTCCCTCAACTCAGACTATCTGTCGATATCGATCCGACACCAGTGCTTTCTTTTCCCCAAATTTAAAACCTCTTTTTTATAACTTATTTGAATCACTGTAAAGTAACACGAGGGCAGGGATTGCTAAGGCGTCAGGTGCCCACTGTGACTGAATGACTGTAACGGATATCAGAAACACTGACTTTTATAATGACATTGAGAAAGAAACTGTATTCACATTTGCATTGGTCTCATCTGGCCAATACCTGACCCAGTGTCTGATGTAGTGTCCTAGCATGCCAGCCACTCTCTACCTGGATGCTATTTTTCCATTAACACTAAACGCCAACATCTACAACACTAACACTTCTCACACAGTACGTTCTGCTTTTTTCCCCTCTTTCCCTTCTACTCAGTTCTTTTTCACACTGACAATTAATCTCCAAAGACAGGTATAGTATACAGGCTTCCAATTTTCACATTATGTGTGATCAGATAACTTTCACAACTTTTTCAAAAACACTCCTGCAGCTGGTGTTTAATGAGGAAGTGCCATAGCAGCAGCTAATGTGGCTTCAAAACTGCACAAGTTTAGCTCATTTCTTTATCACTGATATGACACATCAAGAGACCGTTAAGCTCACTGTTTGCCGACGGAGAGTGCATTTGCCTAAAGGCGTCCTGGTGAGTTTTCATGAGAACACAGTTTCTGGTAATAAAATGCACTATTTGTATCCTTGAGGCTTAACAAATATTTTTCGAATGCAATACATATAGAAGATTTTGCAAAGCCGGTCAGTCTTCTTCTACACTGGAATAGTGTGAAACCATTGGGAGTAAGTGTGTCCTTGTGCGTGAGGACAGAAAATAGGGACCCCCAAGTAAAAATAAGGCTCCATAGCACTACTAGTGATCAAAAACTCAACAGGGTACCTTCAGTTAAGTTATTGGCTGAAGCTTAATTACACTGCCATGGACACTGGCATGTAAAAAAGTCACAAAAAACTTGACTTGTTTTATTTGACTGAAACTTTGTAATGCAGTTTCTCATGGAACAAGGTCTGTGAATTTTGTCCCCCCATCACTTACATTAAAATTACATTAGGAAGCAATCTGTGAGTCTTGTTCTGTCTTGTTGTTCTATCCTTTAATTAGAGCTTCACTGACTCAAATGACCATCCAACCTTAGCTCTGAGGCTGTCGCCTCCCTCTAAACACCCCACCTTTCTCTGAGCTGCTCAGAGTTCTTCTCCATGCTCTCATTCTCAGCAAACTCCATCAGCTCGCGGGCGGCGCGGCCCATGTTGACGGCAGTGGGCCGGGCTGAGGTCAGGTGACACAGAGACTCCCTGATGAAGGTCACGGGGTCATCACCCCCAGCACCTGCCCGCAACTCCACAGCCAGGCTGAGGCAGCCGACGATGGCGATGGCCGGGGCGCCACGCACCTGGAGGAGAAGGAAGAGGAAAGTCAGAATCACGTCCAGGACCTACTCTCTTTCTAACTGCCAACTTCATGAGGATTATTCATCCCTTTCCACCACATGCCTGGAAGTGGGTCACGACAGCTTTCAGTAAAATATCATCAGTCTTGGGAGTCATTTCTTGCTCTACCATTAGACTCCATTATCATGACATCACCCTCTCTGCTTAAAGTACATTCCTTCACTCTGACACACACACACAGGATCAAACATGTAGCTGCTGTTTGTGAGTGTGTGTGTGTAACTGGGAAGACAAAAGAGTGAATATCAGCTCAGTCCCAAATACTGAACATCTGAAAATGTCCCAAGATGTTTGAGAACTTGATCAACATGTAACTATGTGAAGGCCTCTCCATATCAGGGCTTCAGGTGTGGAGGCAGGAATGAGCTGGAGGTGTCAATGAGTGCAGCACAAGACCAAGACATGAACAAAAAACCCTGGCAAAGGTCATTAATAATTCATCAATAATCTCTCCCAAAGAAAGAGGAGGAGGGGAGGGCATATTTCATGGGTGGGTAGCTGTGTGCAGATGCCTGGTTTGTCGCGCGTGCACATGATAATGTTTAAAACTATATTTAAAGGGTGGTTTTGGAGGGCTAGACAATCGGGGACTTGTGGGTAGCTGTCGGGTGCTGCCATCACAATAATACAGGCCGACAGCGGGAGCACGGCGGCGAGCATAAGGCAACACCAGGCGCGAAGCGGTGGGAGCACAAAAGACGCGACAGAAAAACATGCACGACGGGAATAAATGCGCATGCAGCGGGCACGCAGGTCGGCTGGGAAGTGGGAGAAGAAGCCTGTAGTGAGAAGGGGGTGGAGGAAGAGAAAGGAGCCCCGTTACCTTCATGGACTTGATGGCCTCGTAACCGTCCTGCACCGAGCGGATCTCATCGTAAACGGTCTGGTGTGGCAGCAGCAGCTGGTTGAGGATCTGCAGAGACCCTGCCCGGTAACGGATCGCTTCCAGCGTCATGACCGAACAACGAGGGGGGATAGTGGGAGAAATAACACGGGTGGACCGGTTGCGGGTGGGTGCGCGCACACGCACTCACTCTTTTCACTTTCTCTCTCTCTCTCTCTCTCTCTCTCTCTGTGAGCGGATACACGTTGAAGTGACCGCGGCCTGGCTGTCCACAGTCCCGGGAAGCGTCGCAAAGACACGTAGGAAAAGTGTAGCAGGAGGTGGAGGTGCGGGTGGGAAGGAGTAAGAAGAGGAGGCGGTCTGCTGTATTGTATGGGAGGAAAGAAAGGGGAGTGAGAGAAGGGCTGGAAACCTTCACACACTGACAAGACAAGCAGGGAGGCAGACACGGAACCACGTGTCCACCCGAGCAGGAAGCCCTCGTCTCTATGTTCACGCCCACCAAACTCTCGCGGGTTGTCCAATTTTACCAAGACTCCCTTCTTGTGTCTGTGTGCACCATCCCCCTCTCATCTTCACCCCCTTTTGTCAGGGGAAATTTCACATTCAAATATGTTATTAGCATAACACCAAAGCCCCAAGCTTTCCCCCAACAACAGCGAGCAGGGTCTGATAAAAGAGACCTCTATTTCTGTCTTAGATTTTATTATTTTAACCTTTGTCTGTTGGTGGATTTGGCTTTACTCCCCCTACACATCTCACTGCTATATGTGTAAACAGTATTATTATTATTATAAAACCAACCAATATTTTCCCTTCAGATATTTATATATGACTATTTAAAGTGGTTTGAAGTGGTTACCATTCCCTTTGATACAAATGAGCTTGCACATTGGATGGTGAAAAAAATACAGGAGACTACAGAATTATTGCACAAAATAAGTAAATATTTTATATTTTACATAAATAATCATATTTCAATCATAAAGGACCTCTGTATCTGTGTCTCTTGAGAGTTCCTTCTGGATCTTCATACTAGGGACTTGCAGCGTATGTGTGTACACACTTTTTGAGGAAATAGGAGGAAAAAAAATGTTCTGCTGAACACCAGTCACAAATGGAGATAATGAAAATCCATTGTATTTAACCATATTTTACAAATGGGCTCTCTGAGACCACAAGTAATCTTAATTTTCTGTCGTCTGAAACATCATCTCAGGGTCATGTTTAGAAGCAATTCTCATACAATTTACATAAAAAGTGTCAAGCTGATACAAACACTTAAGTATGTTTTTTAATTGTTAAAATGGGTCCAATGTCTAAGTTAATGTCGCGCAGAAATCAGTCCAAATGAGAAAAATGTGGTAAGGATTTTACAGTTCAGTGAAGACAAACTCAGAGCTGTTTCACCATTTTATTCATGTTAACACCGACCTCATACATCTTGATAATAAAGCCTAAACAATCAGGCCTTCACACATTCTGCCGCTGAGCTGCACAAATCATCCCACCTTACATTTAAAAATAGAGAGAGCATAATATGCTGTATATTTATCGTATATAAATAATATATTTATATTGATTGCCCTTACATTACTTAACGGATTTAAAAAATGTCAGAAGGTCCAACAATAGTATTTCCCAAGCCCAAATGAAACATTGACTGCTGCTGATCAGGACATTCACAATGACAAACAATACACCAAAGTTTCTCCTTTTTAAAATGGAATGTAGGTAGATTTCAGAGTCGGGTTAAAAAAAAAAAAAAAAAAAAAAAAAAAGAGACGAGAGCCAAACAGATTTAAAAAAAAGAGAAAGAGTGAGAAGGAGTGTGTGTGAGCGTGTGTGTGTGGTGTCTTGTAAATGCGAGAAAGGAGTGTTAGTCACCAGCAGGACAAACTTTAACAATATGTCCCTCTCCCCGGGTCCCAACCGTCCAACGACCATACTGAATGCTGATGAGCTCGCTGCCATGACAACAGGACAGCCTCAGAGGCCACGAGGTTACTCGAGGGGTAGGCTGAAGTGGCAGTAGTGTGTGTGTGTTAGAGGTGACACAGGGTTAAAAGGTTTTGGAGTGAAAGAAAGCGGTGCAGTGCGGTTTTTGTGCATCCCAGGGTTATATCAGAGCTACGTGGTCGCTTTCAGTTTTTGTTTGACTTAGTGCGCCAGAAACACATTCAGTTGTTTTGCATGTTTTAGCCCATTTACTTCAGACTACATTTATTTTACCTCACAGCTAGTCCTACTGCAAAACATGTTCCTGTGTCCAATAAATGTGAAGTATTTTTGTACTTTTCTTTGTCTTATGTGACAGTAAACTGAATATCTCCAGGTTTTGAAGTGTCGATCTGACAAAACAATCATTTTATAAAATTGTAAGACCCTTTTTTATTTTTAAAACCATTTTCTGGCTTTTTATAGACCAAATGATTAATCTAAACATCTAGAATATTATCAGCAGATTAATCAATAACAAAAATATATGTTCATTGCAGTCACAGTTATTTGAACAGAACGGTTTCCATTAATTTCCATACAGCATGGAAACCAATTAGCAGACTCTTGAAATTGAGTTGTGTAATCCACTGAGTCAATTTATATCAAAGTTATACATTATCTTAATATTTATCATTAATGCAGAGCTTTCCAAATAAATCAGCATTTAAACTGTACTGCCGCATAATGACACATTGACAAGCATTAATGCAGACTTGATGCTTACTGTGATGGATTACACTACTTAGTGGGGCAAATGTTTGGCTCAAAGTCAAGCAAGTTTCAAGAGTCTGCTAAATGATTTCCATAATGCACAGAAATAAATGGAAACTAATGGCCGCCTGGCACAGGAGAGGAAATACATCGAATCTCAAACTGTTCTGCATGCACTGAAAAACAGTCAGCAAAAATGTTACGTGTGCATGACTTGGAGCAGCTACAAGTTGCAATATAGTTGATAGAGTCCTTTAGGCGCCATCCCATTGTAAATTAAAGGTTATCATGTCACTATAAGCAGGGGTCTGTCATCTCTCCTTCTACTGCCATGTCCATCTAAAAGAATTTCACTGATCAAAAGCACAAAAGCAAGAGTCAGAAGATATCCTCTCCAGACAGATAAAAGCGGGGGAAGGGGTGTTACATAAAAATCAACACAGACTATAGAGGGCCATACCAGGTCAACTTTAACCAGGATTATTTGCTAATGGGGCGAGGCAGTGGGTGGATTAGGGCAGACACATGATCCTCTGCTGTGTCACATGACCAAAGAACTATTAGTAGAGTTAACAGACATCATCCACATTGAAGAGTCAAATAAAAACATACAGTAAGGCTCATGTGAAGTAGTGTGCTACATTCTGGCCACGTGAAATCAAACGTGGACTAGCAGAGTCTGCTGCCGTGTGCTTTCAGGTTGTCAAACGCACTGGGGAAACATCTGTCCAGAGCACGAAACAGAGCTCAGAATACATTGCAGCGGTATGACACATTTTTCACACCACTGTTTTGTACATCTACTGTTACTGTGACAAAATTACAGATTTTAAGACCAGTCTGCATTCGTCACACATCTTATAAAGTTTTACTGGATTTGTCTCAATTTTGTCCCCTTGACTTCACAGTCAAAGAAAACTGCAGAGAGGAGTGACCAGGGTGCCTATGACAGGGATGTCTATGGGGTAACCAAAATAGAAATGAGAAATTACCCAGGCTTACTGACACATAGTGGGTTTTCGTTCTGTGAGCAGACTATTGAGCATCCACTGTGCTGCCACTGGACAGCTCAGTGAGACAGAAGCTGGGTTTATAAACTACATATGCCAATATCGGTGGAAAATAGCAACACAGCTGTTCATTATTTTCTAATCGACAGCATGACAGACTTAATATTGTTTAATATTGTGAGAAAATCCAAGTGGAGCAGCCCATTACTCGTGACTCTGAATAATCTATGAATATATGCAAAGGAATTAGTGTGAAGAAAGTGAAGACGAAGAAGAAGACAACAAAGAAGAAACAGCTGATGAAGACGAAGAAGCAATCCTTTTGCAGAGCTAAGCTTCCACCACATTCACAGCCCCCACACCCCCTATCCCCAGCCCCAAAGGCGACTCTACGTCTGATCTAGTCGTCTCCTTGGTGACACAAACACTAATCCCTCATTATGGGATGTAGGCTGCGGCGCCCCGAAGCCCCGTTTTTTTATTCCCATATCACACCACTCCAAATGGAGCAGATTACTGTAATCTGGGAACACTGGAGCAGACAGATTAGATTAAGCTCATTACACACACATGAAATATGGGAAAAGGGGTTAAAAACACCTCAGTCCACTGGTTAAACACACTTCAGAGCACGCACGTGCACACGCACACATTGTTTTGGTCATCTATGGACACTAAAAGTCTCTCTGAGCTGGTTTCAAATGTAAAACTTAAAAGTGTTGGGACAGATCTCTTCACCAATGATTCTCAAAAGAAGATGAGATGGGAATAAAAAAATTGATAGTACAGATAAGGTCTGTAAAGCTGTGCTTCAAGCAGCTTTCTGTAGTGTTTGTCTTGTTTAAGTGCAATAAGCCTGCCTCGTCCTTAGCTCATGAACACCTTTTAATGTTTGTTTCAATTTCTTTGTCGCTCTGTAGTTACAGATTTATTTTGTAGTACTGAGGCAGGCGACCAATTTATAAGATCAACAGGCAGAATGATCAGGTAGGTTCATGCAGTTGTTGTTGTGGACATGAGCAGTATAAAATCATGCTAAAGGTGCTTAAAGTACCCACTGTAGTGTCTGTATATGAGTGTGTATGAGAGAGAGAGAGCGCGCGCGAGAGAGAGCGATAACAGTACTTCAGCCAAGTCTTCTCCGCTCTTACTCTTCTCTCATCCAGTGCGTTTCCTTTTTAACGATTCCAGCTAGAGCAGAGAGAAAAGGAGTATAAGCATTGTATATTCGCACACACACGATGATGATAAAACTTATTTTACTTATTTTATTACACTGACAGTCCATCGCAACTCTTACCTCGCTCTCTACCATCTTCAACCTGCTCAGTGCGTCCTTGGCAGCGTCCTATGAAAAGAGAATGAAAATAATACATAATAAGACCCAACATGTACACACACACACGCACACACACACACAGATTCAAGTAACAGTCAACCCTGATCCTGCGCTTACCCTGTTGCCTTGGCTGGAGAATTTCTTCACAGAGTCAGCGAGTCCTTGGACTAAGCGCTGCAGCACATTTTCATAATCTGCACATGTGGCGAAGGGAAATGTGGGTTACATGCTGGAGAGGTTGAGACACATGCACATGTTGGTAATGTACATACTCGTGTGTGTGTGTGTGTGTGTGTGTGTGTGTGTGTGTGTGTGTGTGTGTGTGTGTGTGTGTGTGTGAGAGAGAGAGAGAAAGAGAGAGTTACCTGTCAGCAGAGCAGGAGAGGCTCGCTCCAGCTGTGCTTTCTGCCACTGCAGTCTGTACGTGACCTCTTTGTGTTGATGGATGAGGTCAGATGGGGGATCCCGGCGCGTCTTTCGGTATTCTGCAATCTGAGAGACATCTGTAATGACTGAGGAGACCTCCGTAGCTTCAGGCCATTACAAGCATGAGAGAATGGGATGTCGTACACAGGGTTAGACCACACACACACACCTTTCTCTCCAGCCGCTCCCTGTCATAGCTGAGGAGGCTGAAGCTGTGGAGTTTGTACTGTGGAGGAGAGTTGCTGGAATGACTGCTCCTGCTGCTCGCTTCATGTTTGGGTTTAGACCGAGGAGGAGATGGCGCCTGATCCAAACAAACACACACACAAAGTTCACTGAAGTGACACCAGCAATTTATTTTTGTGCCAATGGTGTCAGCATTTGTTACCCCCGCATTTACAGGGCAGCAGCTCGGGTTGTGCTGAAAACACACTAGTTTGTGTGATGTGTTGACCAACAGGGTCTAAAGGCAGAAGTGTTTAAAGCGTCTCCAGTCAGGTGCCATTAAACCACTGCAGAGGAAGAGAGCTTAACAAGATGACTGAGCCCCAGTTACTGAAAACTATGTAGAAGACATGATGGAAATATGGTGTTTGTTTGTTTCATGTATCAACTTGAGAAATATTAAGTCTCCTCGTCGCTCCAAATAAATCATGCTGCTTGTACATCGTTGTACATGATGTACATTATTCTCCATTATATTCGTTGCACTACTTTACATATTGCTTATTTAACAGGGACTATAGATATTTGGCATTTTTTCTTGAATTTCCACTCCACGTTTCTGTGTGAAAATTTAAAATGTGCTTAAAAACTGCTGGATATATAGTGACGGGCGAGATGTTATAATAGTTCAGATGGTTATAATGTTCCATACTTATGTTGCATACTTTCAAACCATCTCTCCTCAAAGGCATTCATGGAGTTGCGCTTGAATTTTTAGGATGGCACACTGGCTCAGTGTTTCATACACAAATTACACACACAAGTGACAACCTGACCAGGCCAGCTGGAGTATTTGTGAGGGGTTTGCATGCGCTTTCTGTGTCCTCTGGAGGAACTGAAACTCTACTCACCCGTTCCTTTTTTCCTTTTGTCTCTCTGTAGGAGAAAGGGTGGACACAGGATCGACAACCAGCCACTTCTCAGTCACCGGCTGGAGATCAGCTCCTGATAAAGGCTCTCTGATCTTCACCATCACCTCCAACTTGCCACCTGTCGCTTTACGTCCATCCATCACCTATGAAACACATGCAGGCCGTAACAAAGATCTGGTGCGTGTGTGTATGCATTTGTGTTTGCAGGTTATCAACACTCACGTCTATGATCTCTCTAACGTCACAGTGGTTTTCTAGAGCCTCTAGCTTCAGCTGAGCAGTGCCCACGACTTTGTCGGTTTTAAAGAGGCCTCTGTGAATAAGGAGAGAGAAGAACACAATTGACAAAAGCATCACAGACATAACATTTACAGAACGTGCAGATAAACAAGGAAGCTTCTGTCTGTGTTTCCCCAAAGCAGCCATGTTTTTTACCCCTTGTGGATGATTTCAAACTTGATGCCTTTGGACTGGACGACTCGTTTGAAGCCTCGGTGGGTGCGGTTTATGTTGAGTTTGAACTGCTCTTTAAACTCTGGACTGTTTGTGCTCTTTACTGTGCTGGTCTTGTCCCTCTGAGCCTCCTCCTATACACACACATAAATGAATCCATTATACACATATCAATATAAACACTTAAATACCCATAATCTGCTCACTGAGTGTGAAAGATTCTTACCGCAGTGGGAAAAGGAAACTCAAACTTCACACTGGCATCCAGATCATTAGGTGAAACACCTGAAGTCAGAGATGTAGGTGGGAGTGAACATACATTTGACACATTGCTGCCTAGTTATTTCAAAGACGCAGACCTGGCTTCAGTACCTGCGGGAGCTGGCAGGTTGATGCCTCTGATGATGTGCAGCATCAGGTCATTAAGTGTCAGGCTGGAGTGGATCCTACATAAGAACAACAGGAGGAGTCATGACTATTCAGGAACAACATCACGAGTGACAGACAGCAACACTGAGAGCCAAACAATCCCGACTGTTGAGTGAGTCAATGCCAGAGTCACCTAGCTGTTAGCTTGGTATGATACTGGAGCCACAGTGAGTCACTCTGACTCATCTAGCGCTCTAGTTCCTAAAATGAAACAACTGATGCATGTGTGGAGAATCTTTATAATCAAGTATACATTCAGTTAAATTTTAAAGCATTCAATAAAACATTTATAATTCCTTAAAATCACCCTCTAATATGACCCCTTGATCTAATGACTGTGTTTTCATTTCAGACTGTGTTTCGGGGATTTTAACCACAGGACGGACTACTGAAATAAGTTTAAATACCTGCTGTCACAAAAAAAATCTCTTAACAGGGATGCAACCGTTATGCAACTACAATCCAAGGAAACAGGATTTCTGTGGCTGAACACATAAATGCACCTTCAAACCCAATAATCACTGATCTGATGGTAAACTGGTTAGAATACTTATGAAAGGCTTACAGGCAGGCCACTGGTAACTGCCTATGAATTGTTTTTATTCCATTCAGTTCAATTTTATTGACATAGCGCCAACTCGTAGCAGAAGTTGTCTCATTGCATTTTTCACACAGAGCAGGTCTAGACCACTATACAGGGAGTAAAATAAGCATTTGGCTATTTTTGGGCCTGACTAAGAGTCACAAGCTGTGCTAGCAGCTCTGTGAGGCTATCATTAGACATAGTGGTTCTTTGAGCTAATTGCTAACATCAGTATGCTACCATGCTCACAGTGATAATATAATGATGTTTAGCAGGTATAATGTTTACCATATTCACCATCTTAGTTTAGTGTGTTAGCATGCTGAAATTCGCTAATTAGCACTAAACGTAAAGCGCTATTTAGTCATAAAAGAATTGGACAAATTTTAGTTTTGATCTCATATTCACTGTGTAGCAGATGTGAATGTCTGTACCAAATTTCATGAGGATCCATTCCTATAGTTGCGGTCGACTAACTGACATACGGACCCGTATTCCTACAGCTTGATAAACTAAAAAGTGTTGACTGTCCTTATGGAGCGCATGCTATTCAAAGAGAATACATTATAACAAACTATTCAATTGCATTATATTATTATTATCCATTCTCTAGTTTGTTGCTGACTTGACAGTGTTGAGGGTCCTCTCTGTGCGGCACTTGGGGACTGGCTGGCCCTTCGCGTGGGCATTCTTCAGTATCTCTATGCTCTTCATACATTCCTCAACAAGCTTCTCAAACCTGGGGATAGACAGAGATGGTCCTTACACACAAATGCTCATATCTCATACTTAAAAGGATGGCCTGGTACCTGATCTCTGCACAAACAGTGCTCAGAGGACACCAAACAGCTCTCTTTGAATTTAATTAAATTAATGTAAGAAATTTAGGAGCTGATATTTAAAAAAAAAAAAAAACATTTTTGTTTCAAGGAGATGACACTATCTTTCAAAGCATATCTGAGGAGAAACAGAGCAATGCAGACTCTTCAGGAATACAGAAAAAAGTATAATGTATATGTGTGACAGTTAAATTGTATGTGAAAATGATATGTGAAGAAATATGCAAAATATGCAGTGTGACATGAAGTTATGGTGATGAGGTGCTATATGGAGAAAAAAACATAAAATCACAGTCTGTGTGTTGCCAAAGTGACTGTACTGACAGTTCTCCACAACTGCGCCCAAGTGTTTAGATTAATTATACATATATAAAATATAACTAATATAAATAATATGTGTTAAAAACGATAGTATGCCATAAAATCAAAGTCTGAATGATTCAATTTAATGCTTAATGTAATTCATGTATTACTGACCTGATGCCCAAACATTCAATTACAATTTTTTAACCAAGAATAACTTTGTGAATTGAGTTGCGCTTGCATTTAACTCAATTTCTAGCACCAGAAAAGAGGAGGTGGTTAATTCCATCATGGCTGCAGGTAACATGTTTAATGAAATTCACATATACAAACGAGAGTCACATATACAAATGAGGAATGTCTCTTACTTCAGAGCCTCGGCCACATTGCCCAAGAGTATGAGCTGTTGAGAATTGCCCAGACATTTCTGTAGAACAAAATACAGAATACAGAAGGTCCTGGGTAAATAATAAGACACAGATAAATTATGATTTGCAATTGTCTATTTAAAAAACTGCACAATTAGAAATGTGATGAACAATCTTTAAGGCCATTATCACAACTACCATATGATATCAATAAAAGTACAAACTGGTCACTGATACACAGCAAGGCTTAGGAGGTGCACTTTCACAATGTACATAAAAAAAAGGGAGAAGTGTGTCCTGACCTCGTGCTGCTTCCGCAAAAGCTCCATTAGGCGGTGGTACTGTTCACTGGAGCGAGGGGAAGAGGGGAGGTACGGGAGCGAGCCAGGGAGTAGTCCTCCTCACTGACTGGAGCACTGGGAATCTGTGAGGAAAGAAACAAAGTCTGATGAGAAATGTGTGTGGGGAAAACGTTTAAATGTTCAAAAATCTTAACATAAAAACAAGAGGGCACTCAGAGAAAGCAAACATCTGCCAACTTGCTGTTATCCTAAATTACATAACCAGCATAGTTGAATTTATTTTTCTTAATTCCTTGTGATCTGCAACGCACTTTTAGAAAGCGTGCACAAATTATGTTTCTAAGGCTGTGTGATATTTTGCAGACAGACAGGAAGACAAACTAACAGAGGCACAAGCATAATATTCTCTGTAATTACACTGTGAATACAAGTCAGGGAGAAATACATATATTTCTTATATGAAGCAAAGATGTTAAAAAAAACAGAGGCAAAATGAAATAAAGGCACATGGGATCAATGGCAACTATATGAAATATGAATAGTGGAATGACACTGAAAATATGCAGATAGACACACACACACACACACACACACACACACACACACACATGCTCTGTAACTTCTTGTAGGTCATTAATTTTCACATGAGAATAAATTTATAACCTTGGAAATATCAACAGGTAGGCCGGACTTGGCAGCGGTGATCATGGGCTCCAGTCCCTTGGAGTGTCTGAGGTGCTGCGCTGCTCCAGTCATGTCCTACAAACAACCAAACAGCCATAGATGCATCAATCAAACCACAGCAGCACAACAGATGATCAAGACTGCAAGAAAACGACAGGCAGCCGTGATAAAGACATCTACAAAAACACAAAGATGGCAGGGAAACTATCTACAGCAAAGGAAAAAGAATAACGTTTTGTTTTTTTTAGCCCACAGCTTACCTTCATCTGTTTGGAGCGCAGCGCGGCACGCAAAAAAGCCTGTCGCCTTAGCAACAGGAAATCCACTTGCTGCTGGGCTACAAGGATAATTAAGAGAGAAAGAAAAGTGAAACTTTGCCTTGTGTAACGCTCAAACACTTCGTATGACACATTTTGTATGTGCATGCACATACACAAACCCACATTCTGAACACACCTTTGGCTCCCAGTTTTAGAGATGAGGAACCTCCGGGGGCCTGAGGAGCAGGAGACTTTGCCTTCTGAGCGGGTGGACGCACTGCAGGCTAAAGACGAATGCAATGAACATACATATAGAGATTTAAAAGGTGCAGTTCTCTTAAATAGCTTGAGACAGCATGTGAGCTTGATTTAACAGTTTAATTATATTAACAGTTAAGTATTAACTAAATGTAATAGCGAGTTACTGTTCTATAAATAACTGAAGTATTATTCTTCACTATGATTACAAGCATGAAGTTGATGCAATATGCAGGAGGTGCAGCAGAGAAAATGATTCAAATACCTACAACAGAAGCTGGCTTGACAAAAAAAAACATTTCTTGCCTTGGTTAAAAGGCAACCAGCCAGACTCCTTGGCTGCACAATAACAATTTGACCATTTAGTAGTGCCTTCATTGTTTTGTTTAATTTTTTTTTACCTTGGCAGCCTCTCCTTGTCCATCCTCTTCTTCATCATCTTCTGCGTCTGCATCCTGATTGGCTATTTTCATGGCTGTTTCCAGGACACCCATGAGGTTCTGCTGGCCCCCCTCTGAGCCCTGAAGTGGTGGACAGCCTGGAGGAGCAACACACAAATGCCTTACTGCAACTATTTAGGGCAACCCACACAGGCACAATCCTGAAAACACACCTGGAGAAAGTTACCTGGCGGCACGGGCAGGTCAGACAAGCTGACAGGTCGTCCAGCTTTGTGAGCTCTGATGGCATCCTGGTATTGCTGTTGGGAAAAAAGGAGGTGACTGATAATTCTGTTATCGC